AAAAAAATAAAAAAATAAAAATCAGAAGAAATATAATGAATACCATCAGCCAATATTCATCTTTATACCAATGCAGTTGTAAAACATAATTTAAGAAATTTTTCGTGAAGACAAAAGGACCTAGGTCCCATGAAAGTCATAATGTGGCCCCAGCCCTCCAGCTTCTGCATCCACTGCTCCTTCACCCCGATGTCCCCTTGGCTTCTCAGAACCACTTGTAGCTTTGTTCTCTGTGACTTTTCTCACTCTAGATCGGTGCTTCTGTGAGATTGCCCCTCAGGACTCATCCTTGAGGCCGAAGGTCAAATGTTACCATCTTTGTGAGGCCTTCCCCGATTTCCCTAGATGGAAGGAATCGTTCTTTCCCCGTCACCTAGCACAGCTCTGAACACCTCCAGGCTTGTCCTGACTTGCTTCCATCTGCTTCCCCAGCGAGAGTGAGTTCCATGGGGCAAGAGTCTCATCCTACATCTCCTCATGTCTACATGGGCTTGACACACAGTATGTGGGCTAGATCGGGGGCCAGAGGATGTCTAGGGACAAGAGACAATGATGTGACAGAACTTTTCAGATGCGTGGGGCTCTCCACAGCCCGAATCAACGGATTTGCCAACGGATCAGCTAAGGGACAATGTGGGGGTAGGAGGAACCAAAGGCAAGTCTCCTTTACCAAAGCCATAAGACCTTTATTTTCATTGGGATCTCAAGTCCAATTCTCTTTCCAGCAAAGAATTTTTCCTTTTCCCACCCCTGGCCATATCCTGGCCACTCTCTCCTCTCCCTCTGGCTGGGCTACCTCGGAATGTTTCCCCTACAGGGTCTTGAAAACTCTCAAGGAATTTAGGAGACCTCCTGCAGTGTGGAGTTGGGCCCGGAGAGACGGCTGTGGTCCCAGGGCGCCCTCATGTGGTGATGTCCTAGATGACAGCCTGCTACCAAAAGTCAGAAGCCCTTCTGGAAAGAATGTGACTCCTCTAGGCAGCTGGGCTCTCTCTTTCAGGCAAAGTGGCCAGGCGTGGTGAGGTCCAACTTGCTTGGAGAAGAGCTGACACGCGTGTCGGGTCTGCTCCCCACGGGGACTCCATGCGGGTACAGCAGACGAGGCCATTTCTGCAGTCATGCTCCATTCTCCACACGGTCCCTGCTTCCTCAGACTGCCCTGGGCTCTCGATAGTCTTACCCGGGTTCTGGTCTCAGGTTGCCAATACCTTGCCGTGTGGTGTTGGACAAATTAGTCATCTGGCCTCAGGTTCACAATACGAAAACGATAGGGTTGGGCTGAAAGAACAGTTTCGAATGGTGGTCACAGACCTTTAGAAGTTCAAGGGCTGTTGGGCATTGTCCTCACCTGCCCTCAACTTCGCCCACTGCCAGTCGGCTTTTCATCTACGTTATATATGGGGCATTGGAAAAAGGCTTCTGGGACTGAGACCTGAGACTCACTGGCTGCATGAGCTTGCTTTCAGCACTGACATCCCAGGATCCCCAACTGTGGTCTCCCTCATGGCTACCTGGCTCCGCTGTTCCAGGCTCTATGGAGGCCAGCCAGCCAGAAGTGATCAGCACGGAGGGAAGAGAGAATGCGAAGGCTGATGGTGAGGTGTCTAGTGTTCTTGTGGTGTGGTGGAAGGAGCTCTGGCTCAGCATTCGAAATCAAGTCTGTCTTGGCTCCCGCCATCCACTAACTGTGGGACTACAGACAAGCCCCTTTCTCTCTCTGCCTCTGCTTTCTTATCTGTAAAATGGGCCTGGTGGTTCCCGGCCTTTCTCACAGGGTTACTGTGCAGACGAAAGAAGATAAAGGATTTCTGTTGGGGTGCTTTCTATAAACTAATTGGCTCTAGAAACTTCGGGCAATATTACCAGGGAGACTCTTGCAGACCTCTAGTCTCTCCGTTCGAAGGTACTACTTCACTAGTTCTGTGGGTGCTCCACACGACCAGGGACTCAGGACGTGGCTGCACAAGGACTTTTCTTGAATTCAGCATTGCTGCCTTGGGCCCTACCCAGGCTGCCTTCTCTGCTTGGAAGTCTGTTTCAAGGACAGGAGGCAAGCTCTAGGCCAAGTATCATATGTTCCAACGGTCTCTTTCATCAGCATGGGGGAAGGAAAATGGGCTCTGTGTTGCAAAAGTAGGAAGATCCTGCTTTGATATCCACTGGGTTTAGAAATCCATCTTTAAGGCCTACAGAGAAGCTGATAATCAGGTTCTCAAATATCAGGTTCCCCAAAATCCTATTTCCTGAGAGGCTTGGTTCCCCATGGGAACTCCCATGGGGGTGATCGAGGCTTAGTTGAAGAGCCAGTGCTGGTGGGGATCACTGGGATTGCAGGAGGCCATGGCTGGCTTTTTGTCCTCAGACGTCAGGCAGGTACCAGATCCTGAGTTCCTGATTAGCTGGTCCTAAAAGATGACACGGTAAAAGGTCAACCTGGGCTTCAGATCTCTAACAGTGCTACTAGGGAGCATGAGATGGGGAACAGTAAATAGAAAGCAAAGGCAATACAACAAGGCACAAAGAGGACACTTCTAAATTTCTTTCTTTGGATGCCAAATATCCTGATAGGATGCATTCCTGAGTTTCCACCTGGGTCCACTGTCAATTTCCCACTTCTGCCTTTAGCCTGAGCAGCTAGAATAGAGGAAGGCAGGACCATGGGGCTAATGCTTTCAGGGACCCCTCCTCTGGATGGCCAGACGCAAAGGCCCCTGAGGCACACTCCCACTTTTTGCCTTCGATCATATTTACACTCTTCCCTTCCTTATGGCCCCGATCTTCCTTGAAGATTGGGGTAGGGCGGGGTGTGGAGGCCCATGGGTAGTGCTAGTTTGGGTCCAGTATTATAGAAGTTACATTCTATATCCTGAGGCAGTGTGGTGTACTAGAAAGAACCCAGGCTTTTAAGTCAGAATGATCGAGGTCTGAATCCCAGGTCTGCCATTTACTAGCGATGGGGCTTGGGCCAGTCACAAACTTGCTGAACTTTAGCTGGCTCATCTCTACCCATGGGGGCACTCCCTCCTTGGGAAGAACCTCTGAAAGATTAACCGCACTCAGTGTACATGAGTATGAGATTTGCACCTGGCACACACAGGGCAGGCAGGAACCATGGGTGAATCTTCACTTTCATCTACTTGGGTTCAGCCTGAAAATACTTGAGCCATGTCGGCGATGGCCGTGGACCATAACTCCCAACCTCAACTTTGTATCAGCCGGACCCAGACCTCACCAGACATCACTTACGCCCTGAGAACTCTGCCCAGGACCAAGCCCACTTTCTCCATACTTTCTACATTGTCTTCATCTGCCACATGGCCAAAGATGCAGAAAAGGAGGAGGAGGGGGCGGCTGTGGCCGTAGGTTCTTGATTCTGAGCTCTCTGGGCAGCTCACTCACCTGGGTCAATTCCCATTCCTCATCCTTGGGGACTTGGCTGTTTTTGCCAGTGAAGTGACAGTTCCTCAGGCCCAGAGTGTCAGCACTGGCATGTAGACACAGCTGCTTTGCGATGTTGTGGCGAAGGTCCCTCTGGGTCGTGTACTCAAAGTACTAGAAGGCGAGGCAAGAGGAGGTGGAGAGTTTGCCCCCTGCCTTCCAGAGTCAACTGCCCTAAGATTCCAGCCAGAGTTGACCTTCTGGGGGAGCAAGTGAGGGGGCGCCAAGACCTCAGTAAGTCATGTGCTACCTTTAGGATTCTTACTGTATCTAGGTTTTACTGGAATAATGGTTACTTAAAACGTATTTTTTATATTTTTTTAAAAGATTTACTTATTTGACACAGAGGGAGAGAGCGCACAAGCAGGG